GCGCCGCAACCTTGTGCTTTTTTTCGCGCTACATGCCATTCACGGCTATCTTAAGAATGCGGATTGTGCGCACTTCCTATTAGGGATCGCTGCTGATAATTTGAGGTCGCCCCCTGCCTAACAAGCTCTAACGCCAGCAACTCGGTGATAAAAGTATAAATACATCTTTTCCATCTAATTTAGTCGCACTCTAATTCACTAGTGAAATTTAGAGGGAGCGCGAAGAACGCGAAAGAAGAGATCGCGACAGACATCGCAGTTCTCTGGAACGACGAAGAGAAAGAAGCTCCGACAGGTACAAGGAACACCGTAGCACATCCCGTTCTTATAGAGACAGAAGAGATGACAGGAGGTATACCTACAGGACCAATTCTTTTTGTGCCATCTTTTGCTTTATAAAACATGACTTTTAAATGATGTGTTCCCTCCCTTAGTGGAGTGTTTAGGGTGGATTCATATCGTGATAGAGATCGTGACAGGAATCGAGATAGATATCACGGACGGCGTAGTCGAACACCTGAGAGAAGGCGTGGTGATAGAAACGACAAGTCTAGAGATGAGGTGACTTTTCTGTTCGCTTTTCATATCTCTTATATTTATCTTTATTTTTTATTCATAACGTTATGCTCAAGACAAACGCGAAACACGATACAACTCTCATCTGTAATTATCAGAGGTCTAATAGAAAGTAAGGTTTACTGAAAACTCAACAACTCTTCCTACTTAGGCGCTGGAAGACTGGAAGGCTGCCTTCGCGGCTGAAGTAGGATTCCAGAAGCTGTTCACAAAATTATTATATTACTTCACTTGTCATTTTAACGATTTTCCTTTTTCAATATTTAAAGGCGAGCCTCGGGCTAAAACTGCGTTTCCTAATTATGTCCTAATGATGGCTGAACTGCGGAACGACCTGGAGGTGGGGAGGAACGTAAGAATTCTCGGAGAACGCTCGAACTAAGGCTTACAGCAAAGTCGGATGTGGTAGGATGGCGAGGCAGGGCGATCAAAGAAGACAAAACACGCGAGAGATCACGCCGTTCGAGAGAGCACGCTGATCTCACATATCGAGGTGGGTGGGAAGCGTTGCAACGGGGGTCGATGGTTGCAGGCCCGTAAGGATTAGCGCCCTAACCGCGCAATTTTTGCGACGAAGCTGGAGTGATCTAGGTAGGTACGGACCTTACAATTTCCCTCGCGGTATCCTTCCCACAAGTCGGGCTAATTCCTGGGTTTGCCTTTAACGTAGTCTGTCAAGTTTTAAACTACGTGTTGACGAGCTAGTGACAGCCCATTTTGAGATGAATTAATAGTGAGCAGTAAACTTGAGCGATTTATATGAAAATCATAGCTGAGGGTCAACTACATAGCTTATGATTATTTATTTATTTATTTTTTCATTTGTCGTCTTTGGTGTTTGTCATTTCAGCACTTTTTCTACCTTTGCTAATGAGACATTGACATTGCTTGCCATGGAAGGTGGCTTGTTATTATTATATAAATTTACAGGATGATGAGATAATTCCGAATATTGAATGGAATCCTGAAGAGGATTCTGATGATGAAGAAAGGAAAATTCAAGAACAGAGGGAACGACGGATGAGGCTTTTGCAGCAGATGAATAAAACCGAAGAAAAGGAGGTATGTTCTCACTTCGTCGTTATCTTTGCTAGAGTCTATTCCAGTATAGATGAGAAGCATGGGAGCGACGGTGCCACCTTCAGTATTTACGAGTGCGTGAAACATTTCACTTCCGCTTTTACACCCACCCGCAGCTTTATTCCCTGCAAGGATTGGGATAACTGTAAGCGGAACAAAGTGTTACGTTGTTATGTCCTCTACGTGTTTCAGCCTGACAAGACGAAAATTTATTCCGACGAGAGTTCAGAGGAAGATGCTCTAATCAGAGAAGCTCGTCGCTTGGTTGGACCGGTAATGTTTTGTGTCCTGTTGTAATGAAGTCTCCATGACAAGTTGTGGGATTTTGTAGAGTGGCGTTGGAAGCGAAAGCCCAATGAGCAGCAGCGCGATCTCTTCTCCAGAAAGAGACGCTGGTGACAGTACGCCCGGCGATTTCTTTGCTGATCTGAAGGAGAAAATGGTGCATTTGAAGTAGGTTCTTTATCGGATAACAGGTTCTCTGTGGTATTTAAATTGCAAATTTTAAGAGGACTGGACGAGCATCTAGTTGACGAGACGTTGCAAAAGGCTAAAAAGCAAGAGGCAGACGATGCTAAACGAGAAAGAGAATATCATGCAAACGACACGCCGGTTAGTGCGTGCCAATGTAGTGGTGTAAAACATTTGATTTGTTTGTTCTCTATTTTTTTGCTTGTTTAGGTGAAGGAGGAACCTCCGAAAGTAATCGCTCCTCCCAAACCGGTAACAAAGACCAAGACCGAGTTTGATATGTTTGCGGATGACGCTGATCTCCCACAGGTAGGTAGGTATACATTCTGCGACAGCTGAATTCAATTTACATTCTTTCTTCGCAGGATGGAATCGTCGCCGATGAAGCTGTTTTGGAGTCCCAAGGACATCACGCTGACGCTTTGAGAGACAACTGGGACGATGCGGAGGGCTATTACCGTACGTTTTTCCTATTGAAATCTTCTTAGTTTTTTCCATACCGCGAGTCTCCTTTCCTTTGTTCACAAGCAGGGTCAACCTTCTGTTGTTGCAATTACGGACATACAACGACCCTTCCTCTCCTAGTTGAGGCCTTGATACAACCCCACCCACCCTCAGCGCGATTGCTCTTTCTATAGTATTTGATTTTTGAGACCATTCGAGCCCAACCACGCTCACTTCTTCCAAAATGGCCAATCGATCGGGGGAAGAGCTCAGTATGGCTAGGGATACGACGAAAGTTAATTCTAATTTCTTTTTGAAATTTTTATCAATACTTCCGAAATCTCGTCGAAAAACTCAGATGGGATTTCCCCATTCCGAGCTGCGCATGGTTTTCTCTGATTTCAACCTTTGTCTGAGTTTTAGCATGTTTGCTGTTAGTGGTGGCGTGCAAAGAAGATAGAAAAAGTTTTCACAGTTGATCAAGATTTCGTCGCTCAGGAGTACGTATTGGAGAAGTACTAGACGGCCGCTATAGAGTATTCGGGTATACTGGAGCAGGAGTATTCGGGAATGTGGTCAGATGCACAGATCAGAACAGAAATGACGTGGTTGCCATCAAAATTATACGAAACAACGAAATAATGTAAGTGAATTCACTTTTTTGTATGTCGCTATGACTCATAAGAGTATTTCAGGCGTAAAACAGGGCTTCGAGAATTGGAAGTGTTGCGTAAGTTGAATGAGGCAGATAGAGAAGACAGATTTCATTGCCTTCAACTGTATCGCACGTTCAATCATCACAACCATCTGTGCCTTTGCTTTGAGAATCTGAGGTAGGCCACGTGCCGAGTCTCTGCCATTCCTTTAAATGATGATGACTTTTATGCAGGAAGTGCGATAATTGATGATAACAGTATTTCAGACACAGTCTCATGTATGCTCACGTTTGGTGTGATATTGTAAGTGCGTGTGCAACCCCCGTGTCCGGCAACCAATGCGCTTACACGGTCTGATTTGGTCTATTGCCGCCATCGTAATCTCAGAAATGCGCTAGTTATATACGCTCAATTGTTCACTCCTAGCATGCTCTGTCATCGCCAGTCTAAAGAAAACAAAGTCGCGTGAATTTTGCTTTTAACTCTCAAAGAATGGCAGAGTACTCATTGAACTCCAAAGTTGACCATTTCAGATGTTTTTTACACTGCGTAGTTTTGTGTTCATGACTAAGAATTGCAGCATGAATTTGCGAGAGCTTCTCAAGAAGTATGGTAATAATGTTGGTTTGCACATGAAAGCTGTACGAAGCTATGCTCATCAACTGCTTATGGCGCTACGACTGCTGAAGAAATGTGGTCTTGTCCATGCCGACATCAAGCCCGACAACATTTTGGTATGTCCCGCTAACCACATTCTTGGTTTCCCGTCTTTTCTTTCAGTTGATTCTATTATGCTTTAGGTAAACGAGTCGAAGCTGGTACTGAAGCTATGTGATTTTGGGTCAGCTGGTCATGTCCGAGATCAGGAGATTGCTCCATATCTCGTTTCAAGGTTTTATCGAGCGCCAGAAATCAGTGAGTCGGTCAAATAGAGGAGCTGATTTTTCTAATGGTCCGGAACAACATATGCTTTCTAGTGCTGGGCATTCCTCATGACTATGGTATTGATTTGTGGTCTATAGCAGTTACTATTTATGAAGTATACACAGGAAAAATCATGTTTCCGGGAAAGAGCAATAACCACATGCTCAAGGTTTGTGATTTTTGATTTTGTTAATAAAATTAAAATGAAATTATCTACACATACAGTCGCCACCTCACTACGTCCCACAGCCGCAATACGTCAAAATTGTCGGTCGCGTTGCCGTACAATTGCTTTTACGCGGTGCTGGAAGCCTCTTTTTGAATAACAAGGTCAACTATCATAGATAGTACAGTTCAACGCGTTCGAATTTAAACGTATTGCGGCACGGGATATAATTTCTTTCTCACAACTGGAGAACGCTTTAGCAAGAGCCATTCCAATGACGAGCTTATTCTCGGTAATGCGTTCATGATTTCTAGGGGTTTAGGTTGATTTAGGTTACCTTCTTTGCTTCTGATGATCTTCCGAATTGTTTTTCATTGATTTTTATTTTTGTTTCGGAAAGCATCAAACACGCTCATCCCAGTGCAAAGCAATTATCTCCCTTTATTTAGAAAAAAAAACTTCAGAAAATTGACCATACCATTAGTGCGCGGCTGCTATTCTTGGCTGATGTTGCTATCAGACCCTTTTATTATTTCTTCGATGAGAAAAGTCAGTAGCAGCATCGTAGGGCCTCTCTACGCCGGCTAAAGCGCACACCTTTACATGGCATGGCTCTTGCTAAAGCATTTGCAGTGACTGGTACTGGTAGTTATTTAAAATATATCAAATTGCAAACACCACGAGCTTATCAAGAGCAGCGGCTGCAAAATTCGTTTGTTTTCCGGAAGGACTAATTTGGAGTAGTGTTACGTGGACGCCATTCTAAGTTTTCAATGTCTCGAGCATTTAAAGGTTTGAGTACGATTTTCCATAACTTGAGAATAACTTCTAACGAGAGTATATCGATCCAGATTCTCTTTGGCTACACGTAACTCGTCCGTAGCTTCGTGGAATGTTCTCATTTGATAGAGAAGCGTCTTCGCCTACTAGACGTTGCAGCATTGGTCGGGAGTTTTGTACAGGGTGTGGAAAAAGTATTTACCCCTGAAAACGCGACTTTGGCTCTGCAAACACAGCATTTTGGTCATACTATCTTCAGTAGCGGTAGCGTAGATAGGTAGCCGATTACCAAGGGTGGCTGAAGTTAGCATGATCAACTTTGCTTGTATTTGTGAAGCCATGGTCCCGTTTTAGGCGGTAAATACTTCTTGCGACCTTTATTTCATTTGGATCTTTGCAGCTTTTCACAGAAGTGAAAGGGAAGTTTCCCAACAAGCTAGTTCGAAGAGCTCAATTCCGCGATCAACATTTTGACGCCAACTGCAACTTACTTTACCATGAGGTCGACAAAGTAACTCAACGAGACAAGGTGAGGTTAAAGGGACGTCATGATTGAACATTTCTTGATTGAAGAAGGTTTGTAGGTGACAGTTCTATCGAACATTCGCATATCTCGAAATCTAGAGCTCGAGTTGTTAGGAGAACAGGATCTCGATCGCGATGGAATAGCTCAGGTTTGCCAGATTTGTCTATCGTTCATAATTCATAATGTTTATAATTCCATAACTGATGTTTATAATTCGTAAGTTTAGGTTCATTCATTCCGCTCACTCCTAGAGCAAATGCTGGTGTTGGAACCGGCAAAACGAATAACTTGTGGTGAAGCTATCAAGCACCCGTTCTTTTCCATGAAGTGAAGAGAAATTCAGTCAGTATAAGGGTGTTGCAAAGCATCTGGACGCATATTCTTGTAGAACCAACGGTTATTAGGAGTAGGTAATTGTCAGCGTTCCAGGTTGCTTGTGCATTCGTTTGTTATTAATGTACTTATCGGTGTCGTAGTGTGAGAATATTGTCATCATGATCAGTAAAGAAGACTCACCAGCTTGTCTAGCTCCTGCAAACCTGCCATACGGGCGTCGCTGTTGGGTGCGAGATGGTCATGTGTTGATTTTGTCTTAAAGATATTATCTGAACGTAAATTTGGCTATATTTGTGGTAGGGTGGGGCGCCAGAAGTAGTTTCAAAGTCACGAAAAAGTTATCACCACTCTACTGCATCTTTTCTTCTTTAATATCGATTCTTGTGAAAATTAAATGTGCGATTTTAGTGAATCATTTTGGTAGGGCAAGGTCTCAATGTAGAAAATTGGCACACGACCGCTCCGCATCTAGCGCACCCATGCCCTCCTAGCGGTGTAGTGGGTTTGGTGAGCTTACATCAGCCTGCCGGTTCGTATAATTGTTGTAGACTAATAATTATTTTGAGTGAATTTCAAATGTGAAATTCAGGAAGTAGGTGCAGGATCGCGCAGCTGGTAATTATGAGGCAATTGATTGAATTTTGTGTCCGTTTAATACCTCTATTTCACAACACCTAACATACGTATTTGATGTGAACTTTTCGAATAATTGTTTTCGCTCGACCTCAGCTTGATGATCACGTTTGTTTTTTGTTTATTTTTAATGTTAATGTTATGTTATGTGTTAGTGTATTTGTCTGCCTTCAGCTCGTTGTTACCAAGCATTCCCTTGGTGATGTTCGGAACTCTGATCAATGAAATCTGTTGCCCTCACAGACTGGGTCGTAGCCGCATGACACGAGTCCTCAGATGCCCGTCTGACTCGGCGATTGTGTCAAGCGATGAACAATCGCGATCGCCCATCGCTCGGTACAATTGCCGAGTCTGACGGACATTTGAGCGCACAATCACAAAAGAACTGAACTTTTGCTCTATTCTTGTCTATTCGATTGCCAATTTTTGAGAATCCAACACAGCTTCGTGATGCGGATATGACTCATCCACCAGAAATTTCGTTATGGTTCTGCACCTAGACTATAAATACTCATTTGTGCCCACCCTTCTTCATAACACTAATTCTAAAGCTGATGCTCTTTAGTAGAAGCATAGCTAGGCACAAATGTCCAGTCATTGGTTACAGCCACGTATGTCTTGAAGCATTGTATTTTTGGGTTTATATTGTTATAACTTTCACATAAATGGAAGTTTGACAGAACTGTTTTGAAGTAGACATTATATCTCTCTATTTATGGTACGCATACATCCTGACACCTACATACATCACATAAGACTAGCAGTTTAAGTGCTCGATCTTCATGTCGTCGCCCTTTGTGATATGAGAGTTGTAGAAACGGTTCCCACAGTAACCACATGCGTGAACTCCAGGCTTGTCCTTAACAAGGAAATGTTAATTAATTTTCGATAATTGGCGGGTGCACACATTCATGAAGCTATAAGGTGGATACAAAAACGCTCAAAATGACGACGAGAAATTAGATCCGGGCACAGATATTTAACTTGAACAGGTATAAGTATAAAGTGTTATAGTAAAAAGTGTAGTATAAGTACAGTTTGTGTACTACACAGAGTTCGTGCCCTAAAGGCGAATTTACGACCACCTATGCGTGCTTATTGGGTTTGAAA